GTTATTTTGCATGACAGAACCTGATGTAATCAGCTTGTAAGACGTAAGGAGTCGCTACGCTAGCACACAATAACCACACCGACGAGCACACTCGCGGGTTAAAAGGCACTCGCGTGATGGCGGCTCTTAAGTTACGCGCGTTTCATGCCGAATGAAATTGCGTTCCGCCTCCCGCGAAACATCACGTCAATGCCACGCAAGTCCGCGAGCGTTGCTTATTTTTCTACAAGATAGTTTCCGGTGGGTGTTTACCCGAGTGGAAGGCTCTGACAGAAGCAGAAAGAGAGAAAGCCGAACGGGTGAAGGAGAGGGAGAGAAAGAGAAACAGAAAGAGAGAGAGAGAGAGAGAGACAGAGAAAATATTCTCTCGCAATGCTATGTACTCTTTCGTGGAAAGTTCGGTCGGCGGTTTGAAAACCGCGAATCGTGAAATACGGAAATCACGCCGAAAGAGAAAACACACGCGTCTGACGGATACCGTCGAGCAATCGATTACCGCGGAGAGGAATCACCCTCTTATTACACCAGACAACCGCCTCGTGAAACGTTACGAAAACGAACGATCGACAGTTGATCGTTCGGGCAAACCAACGCTGGAAGAAATCCAGGAATCGCGGCGCGGTTAAACAGCATTATGTAAACACGCGAATTTCCGAGCGAAATCCGTATGGCGGTCCGAATATCACGACGAAAAAATTGACGATAAAATTAGTCACGAAAAATGAGGAAAGGGAGGGAAAATAGAAATAGAAAATTTCCCCGACGTCGGAAACTTCTTTTGCCGTTCCCCTATTGTCTCCTGGGAAAAACCTTTTCCCCAGATATAATCCGTGCTTACAAATCTCGAATCGCGGAAGAAAAATCGACGGTGTCGCGACACGTCGACCATAAACGTCGAAATGGAAAAATATGATACGCCACGCGAGTCCAAAATACGAGAGAAGCCTCGAATGGAAGAAAATAAGAGAAGAACTGCGCGAAAGGAGAAATATTCCACTCGCGCGTGGAGGATTGATGGATTGCTCCGCGCGAGTTGGACGACCTTGATGATCAAGAGAAACCACACGTGGTTTACTCGTTTGACTCGCCTGTTATTTAAATGACCGTGAATTCTGACCGAACAGTGTTTAAAATTACGCCCGAAGAAACTACTTCAAACGTAAAAAAAAAAAAGTATACGTATATTTTTAGTGCGCGCAAAAGAATTATCAAGTCGTATCGATAATAGAAGGTATTAAATTATATATCTTCAAGGCGTGCACAAAAAAATTATTACGCCATTGCCGGTAGAGAGAACAAAAAAACCTAGATAAAAAATTTAAGAGAGATTTGAAGTGTTATAACAGCTCGGAGCCTCGGAACTGAGAGACAAACAAGAATTCTGGATTAGCGCGCGAAGGTAAAAATTTCTTTTCTTGCCGGAATAGGAAAAAGGTCATCAACTTGTAAAAATACGAAGAGAACTCCGAATGGACCTTCGGCGCTTAATAAATCCTTTAATATCCCGGTTATGGGAAGCATTTAGTTGTCTCCGTAGGTCCCTTAGATCGTTCGTAGCGCATGCTCGGCATTCTCGGCATAGGGTTCCCATAAATTGCGAGTATGATACGTCCTGAAAACGTCGACCGTGGTGCTTTAACACCGAGCGCGACGAGGAGAGGAACGAAAAAGAAGAAGGAAAAAGATTAAAAGAGTTGATGACATGCGTCGGATCGATACCAAGGTAAAATGAGACATCTATCTAACGTGTGCGACTCTCGTGGCGCAGTTATAAAAACAAAAATATTTGCGAAAGATTTTCCTTCTCTCCCTCAGCTTGTCTCTCAACACGCTACCAATTTTTGAAACTCGATAATAATCTTATAACTCTTTGAAACCCGATACAATATAATCCTATAACCGATAAAATTCATCGTCGGTTATCCGATAGCGCTAAAATCGTGTTTCCTTGTGTTCATATTTCCATGAAACATCGTAAACCGCGCGCGATGTTGAATTCGCACAGCAAAAACATAATTACTGCACAAAAACATAACCGCTCTATTTCACCTTTAATAGATTAAAAATTCATTAACTACAACATTCATTATTATTACTTGGACCAATTAATTATATTCATTCGTTAATTATACGCACGTGTAATTGCGTTAAGAGATTCTTGTGTAAATAACAAACACATTGAACGAAAACGGTATCAAAGAGACAAAAAAAACGTCGGTGTCTAACCCGGTACCTAATGTCGCGCGATGGTCGAGAAGCGAATTCTCTCGAATTGCGAAACGTGTTCTGCATAATGATGAGCTGCGACTTCGGTCTCGACGATAAAGCCACCGTAGCAGAAAAGAGGATCGGGTCCTCGATGATAGCGGCGGGAAACCGGTTTTCGCGATTCGGACACACAGGACGAGAGGTAGACGATGACGACGACGTGCAAAAATGTTTTAATCATAACGCAGGTGCAAACGTCTTTGTCATATCATCGGCAACGAAGAGGCACCGCATTGAGATAGCGGCGCATCATCGGAGAAAATAGCTCTCTCTTTCTTTCGGTTTCGCGGGAACGTCGCGCGATTACCATTCGCGGCGCAAAAATACACCCGAGGCGCAGTCTTGGTCGTCGATATTCGGATCACGGTCACAATTACGGGCCGCCGATATCACCCGACCGTGGAATTTCAGGCCGAGGCGCAGCGTGAATCGCGAAGTAATCCGATGAACCTTCTCGTCATGCAGAAAAAAAAACTTGTCGTTTAGAGGCACAGAGCTGAGAGACTCTATTCTGCGCACTCGACTGTTGATATGAGTGTGCTAAACGAGGTCTCGGGTGAAAACTTAGCACTTTAGAGCAGCAGTTTTGGCGTTCGCAACATTTAGCGCGCCAGTCAATTTTGTAGCCCAATACTTAAAGTTTCCTGAGATCTTATTTCTGCTCTAGCAGGTTCTATTATTAGTACCGATTTGGTTTTTATTTCTGAATCAAGTAGGTCTGTCCTAGAAGTTCGCGGCGTCAGCTCGGAAATGTTAGTAAATGACAGTAAGGTGCTTGAACGGAACCTTCGCCGTTTCTTTTTGCTCACGGAGAAACCGTACCGTAACTAATCACGATTACGGCGAGATTTCCTATTACGTCGATCGCGGCGACACTCGCCGTGTACGCATAAGGCGCGGTTTCTAATTCCCGAGGAAGCAATTACACGCGCCGAGTTCCTTCGCGCGCGCGGGTTCGGCTCTCCGCCACGTCGAGAGTACACGCTGCTCTGATTGCCGGTTTGCAGTCTAGTTTCTATTGACAATGGCGTCGTTGACGACGCCGACAATGTTGCCTCAATGAGGCGCGCGCGCGCGCGCGAGCCTAAAGGGTCGCTTTCAAGTCACGCCTCGCGAATGCAAGAGCGTCGGAATTTTACAGCAAACTAAGCGTTTGCACACATCGCTGTATCTCACAGGAGTAAATTTACACACGTTAGGAGTAGCGTTTTGTAGTACTGTTTTCGGAAAACAGTTTCGAGCAAGATAGCATCACGAAGCAGCTTTGAAACTCGAAGCTGATGTAAATGTTTTGCGGTATAAAGTGTATATCGAATTATAAATTTCGTTTGGAAACCGCAATCTCACGTCAAGCTAAAATGTCAGTGCTCAATCTCGTTACAAAATAAAATTGAGAAACAAAATTGATAGATAATAACGAAACGTCTGTATTGAATATGTGCGGATGAATTCTTGCCGCGCGCGCATCAGACAAAGCCGCGTGCAACGGAGATTCTCACGATCCTGAAGAGAACCTGACGTACTCAATCGCTGTATCACGCCAGGGTACCGTATACTCGCCAGGTGCGCGCATACACGAGAGAAGGCCGAGAGTTCGAGGAACGCGCAATGCGGTGCCGCGATAAGCCGCGTAACTACGCGCCACGAGCCGGGGGACTGTTTATGGCAGCAACTTTTACGCCCACCGCCCCCCGCAAAAAACGCGCTTCGCCCGGTACGGTCTCGTTACCGCGAATACAAGTCTCATTGATATCGACCGACGGCTCGTCGGATCGCCATTATAGAGTGCGCTTTTTTTTTTTTTTTCGCTTTTTCCCGCTGCGCGAGCGTAACGATATTTTCTCCTAGTAAGATTTTTCCACGTGATGCGCGCGTACGATCGGAATGAGACGAGAGAAAAACTATACACACTCTTTACCAGAGTCTAGTTTTATTTTCCGAGAAGCAGAGAACTGATTCGACGAAATACGCGCTAGTACTTAGTGACAAAAGCACCAGATATATAGGTTTTCGAGATAAAAAAAAAAAAAAAACTAAAAAGAAAATTCTCCAAAAATTTCCCGAAATAGGAAAACGAACAAAGCGATCACGTGTTTCCGGATGAAATTCTATTTGGTTGCGCGATCGAGTTGCGCTGCGAAACTCGCGCGAGATCACGAAGAATACAAACGGCGATGTTCACGGCGTCGCGTCGGAAAATACGTGTGACGAAACGATCAATGGCTGCGTTCAGCGGACTCGACACTGAGACATCGTTTCGCGCTTATTGCCAATGATTGGCCCATTCCTCGTGGATATATTGCAGATGAGCAAATATCCACCGCTTGCAAGACGACGGCAAGTCTCGAATTCGCCGAGAATGCAGCCGTGAAGAAAATCGGAGCTTACATCGATCGAGCGACAAATATGTCGCGCTCTCCGCCGGCGTTATTGACAGAAAATCGCGTGGACCAAGCGAGGGGGTTATGAACCCCCCCGTGGTGAATATCCTCGACACGCGGACACAGACGGACGGACATGCGCCTTTCGCACCCTCGAGTACACGCGAGGGGGCTAACCACGGGGTGGAGAAACGACGTCCACGCGATTTGGAAGCGCGCGCAGAACCGGCATTCGCCATGCGAACTCGCACGACCACGACGCCTATCGTACACACGCGCGTCTTGTCTCAGTCACGTTTATTATTCATCGTATCACGCTATTATGCATCAAACAGAAAATCTCAGACTTACGGTAGGTTCCCAGGTAGAGCCGACGACGATGGTGGAAGAAAACGTCCAACTGGGCAGAGAAGAGAATATATTCGGCGAAGATATCCGTAGGTAGAAAACGGCGTCTTTCCGGCAGAATCACACAAACGTGACACAGCAATATACAAATTTCAAATAACGAAACTCGATCGTCGACTTTAGTTGATTCTCACGATTCCACGGAGTTTTTTTTTTTTACGTACGCGCGATCAGTTAGTTCAGGAATCGACACGATATACCGCACCACACGCGAGTTATTTTCGTATAAATCGCTCACGACACGGGAGGAAAGAAGCAGCGCTGACTGCGGATTTTGTGTGCGCGACACGTTTAGCGAATCGTAGGCAACTTCACTCGGCGCGCACGTCGAGGTGGCAGACAAGCGTCGTACGTGTACCGTACGCGTCGGTTCGTTGTGAAGAGAGACCGTTTTGGAGGTTAGGGAAGCACCCGACGACGACGCACCACCGGCTAGCTACTGCTCTCCTTCCTCTCTCCGCCTTTCCCTACAAGCTACGTGCCGCCGCCGTTTCACTCGTACCCGCGCGTCAGCCCCTCTTGCTCCAACGCTCTCCCACACGAGGCACCGAGTATGACGAGTCTTCTGTGCACGTACAGAACGCGTCACGCAGCGTCACGTTGTGTGTGCTCGTCCGTGCACTTAAGCGATCGTCGTATTGCCGGGGTAAACACCGGTGGAAAAAGAGACGGAGGCGGAGCGCGCGCGAGAAAGAAAGAGAAAGAGAAACGACGCCGAAGTAAGATGGAGACGGACAAAGTAGGAAACATTCAAGCAAGACGCCGCGTAACGTACCGAGCGCGGACAAAGACAAATACGGGAAGAAAAAATAATAAACAAAAGAAAAACAAGTCGCGAAGAAGAAAGAAGGGAGAGAAAGAAGACGAGAGGAGAAAAACGCGATTCTCGAAAGAACTTTTGATAGGTTAAAAACTCTAAAAAGAGATTCGAAAAAACGTAAAGTGAAAAAACGTAAGTGCGCGCTGCGAGAGAGAAAAAGAGGCGATGCTAAACTTCGCTACAGTCGCGGCATGCCGCGAGAACGTGGACGAGAGGTGAAGAGGGATCGCTTGTCGAAACACAGGCGGCTTGCGGGGAGAAGGTTAGATAGAAAGAGGGGAGAACTTACCGTAGGAGAGCGAACCGGAGCGCGGGGTCGGACGGCGCGCGGGAACAGGACGAGTGGGGAACAACGACACACAACGCGACTCCGACTCTCGAGAGGGACGCGGGGCGACTGACTACGCGGACCGTAGTGGGGGAACGTGGGCATCCGCGGGGTGGCGCGCGGCGCGGTACAAACGGCAAGCCGGCAACAGCCGACTCGACTCGAAGTCGCGACGATCTTACTCGCGCGTTCCGCGTCGCCGGTGGCGCTGTCTTCTTTCCTCCTTCGTTCGTCTCTCTATGTGCATCGCCGCCGTCGCCGATAGCGAACGATGTAGGAGGCATGCCAGGATATGTATACGGGGTGTCCCGCGAGAATCGAGCCTGCGGATCGCGCGCCTTTCGTATTCTTTCCGCGGACTTGCACTTCCGACGCTTAAATATATACGCGCGAACGTCCGGATGCGATTTGATTCGTCGTGAAAAAGAAAAATTTCGTTCGTACAAAAAAAAGAAATCGTTGCCGCGGATCCGTGATTTTTGCGTAGAATTATTGTTCGCGCAGGAAAGTGGAAATAAATGTTCCCTCGATGACATTTGCATAATACGAGTTTGCATAGCGCATACCTTGGCTGTATATTTGCATAATGCGGATACTGTGTTTTGTATATTTGCATAATTCGAATTTCGATTTTATTTCGATGAGTAATATTCCATCGTTCGAAAAATATCTGAAATATTCAGCGGGATCGCGTGAATGTGTAAACGCGTTTGTGTTCGTCAGAGAACACCGTTGATGAAATCCACGCAGGTTCAAAATTCCAACACAAATTCTCTTTGGAAGGTTTAGGATAATTCGTCCTTTTTAAAGTAAATCTACAGCAGGTCTCTTTCGTCCCGATTCTTTATACCTGCACAAAGAAGCTTCGTTCGAATCACCCGTTACGTATACGTGCATCGCACGGACGAAAAGAATACCGGCAAGGTGAGAGAAGGAGCGGATGGGCCCCGAAGACGAAACGTATCGGGCGCGACAAGGACGGCGCGTACCGTAAAAAAAGCGATGAGCGCAATAGAAAGACCGGCGAGAGAAAGAGAAAGAGAGAGTGATTGAGAGGGAACGGGGAGGTGAGGGACGTGTCCGGGGAAATGAACGGGAGACCTTGCACACCACGGCGGCAGCAGAGAGAATGCTTTGTGTCGGATAGCAGTTGTGCGATGGGAAGAGAGCTCGGGCCTGCTGCGCGGGAACAAGAGGGTAGAACAGAGAGGGGGGATGCGAAGGCAGGAGGGCATCAGGAGGGCCCTCAACCGTCTGCCATCCGCGTCGCGCATAAAGGTCCTCTCAGACGGTGAGTTCTCTGGGCGAGGTTCCTTCCTCTCACCCTCTCCACCTCGTCATTTGCCAAGGGGGACCCGCGCGGAAACCGGATTGCGTTTTACGTTCGAGCGTCCGGGGTTATATTTTTTCGACGCGATGCGTGTTACTCGATACGGGCGCCCCGTTCTTTCGTACACTTTCGTCGTCGTCGTCGCGCGCGCGGGGGTATTTTTAGCTGTGCACCGCGTATTTTTGACAGCGGGGTCCCCTCATCGGTCCGTGAGACGTTCGACGCCTCTGCTAGAATCCGCTCCGGAAAGCGAATGCTTCGTCGATCTCTTCAGAGTCGGATGCCCTCCCTCGCGATGCCGTGAATTGTTTTCACGCAAAATAAATTTTATTTTCTTCAAATAACAAGAGAAAAGTTTGTTTCACTTCTCGATTATTATTTTCGCGTTTTCTGACTTCTCGAAGCGCTTCGGATCGATTTTATCGCGTTGGCAGATAACGCATCAGGGTTAATAATGGAGGTGTGAAAGCCGACTGGCGTATATTGCGATTGCACCGCAATCCTGCAGATTTGGTATACGTATGTACGTGTGCGCGGCGCGGGGTTGCACATGTGCACGAGATATGGGAAAGCAAATCGTGGGAGCTCGTGAAACGAAGCTCGACTGCCACCACGGAACGACGACGAAATATCGTTGGTCGCTGCTACACCTCGCGCGCGAGAAGCAACCATGAGCCGGCATATCACGTATCAAGCGACTAATCAGTGAAATTCGTTCATTACGCCGTTGCACGAAAAGCAGCGTAACACCGCCGCAACCCGTCGTCGTTGTGCAACGGCGATTCGAAACGCCTCGAATATTTGAGGCGCGAATTAAACGCGCCTTTTGTAAGGATTACGCAAATTCGATTACCGAATTATACAGCGCTACTATCGACCGGTGAGACAGTCGCTTATCGCGCTACGTAATTTATTTGTAATAAATAACTATATCAGCTCGCGGTATGTTTGCCGCTGAATCAGTCGTGTTGTAACAAAATTAGATTTCGCGCTCATTGTGGGAATTAATATCAGAAATTCAAATTCTCTTGAAAAGTGGGAAGTTTTGATTCAATTTTACTTCTTACTGTCCTGAAATTCGTTAATAAACATTCTCTTCTAGCAACGCACAATTGAAATGTTAATTTTCCCTCTCCTCAAACATATATATGTATATATCAGGTGTTCGACGCCAGTTTCTCTTCGAAGATCGGGGATATATAGAGTGTGCTTACATGTGACGGGACGGCTGGCGCGTCCTGCCACGGACAAAGGAAGCGCTGAATCGTGCGGCCCTGCGTATTTGCATGGGAAACGTACCCACAGGATCCCCGCTCTCGCGCACAAAGGACCTGCGAGCGAGAGCGCGCACACGAAGCGCGCGAGTTTAGCGTACGTGTTTCCCTTGCATCTGCGAGGGCACGTAGCGCAGAAGGAGAATAAGAAGAAAGAAGTCTCAGGGTCACGTTTTTAAAAAAAAGTAGGTTCAAGGGGGAGACAGGATACAACAAAGAGAGAGAGAGAGAGAGGGTTCGCGGTTTTCTCGTGGGACACAAGATCAGCTCGTTACTTTCCATTTCGCGGGGATTTCCTTTCTCTCTCTCTCTTTGGCGAGCGCCCTCCTCATCCTGGAAACCACGAAGGGTGCGGCTTAGCTTCCTTCGTGCGCGGATCCGTCCCGGCCGAGATTCGCATCGAGAATACGAGGCACTGGATCGAGAGGATGGGCCGGGGAAATGTTTTATAGGTCACGGGATTTATCCTGATAAAGTCAGCCGGGTTGTAAATTCCGTCTCGAAGAAAAGCGAAGGTTTTGAGTTACGCAGAGGCTTGCAACCGCGCGCCGTTCGAGTTCGCGAATTCAATCGGCCTGTGTCGAGTGTGTGTCGCAACAACTCAATTTTCCTTTCGTAATTTAGAAAGGATAGCGAATCGCCGTCCGTCTCACTTCGATGTAACGCGTTAGAGTCTAAGAGATACTTCTTTAGGATATAAAGTAAAATTTATTTAAAAGATAAAACCAAAATATATATATATATAAGATTAGTATTTCACTTAACTTAATATATTCCCGTATTGTATGAAGCATCACGTTTTTTTTTTTTTATCGCGTATAAGCGTGAAAATATTGTTTATCGATTCCTCGTATTATACTATTAATGTCCTGTTTATCTCCGCGGCGTGTTTATCGCGTATATACATCAGTGGAGGCAATCGCGGGATTTTATATTTGTTATACAATCGATTTAATTATAATTGACGTAATGATGAGAATTATTATTCCCAAGGCTGGCAATCAATCCTATAGAGTGACGAGTGAGTTGAAACGACAGTGCGAACACACTTTCGTAATCGTTCGAGAGAAGAAAATATGACTACGTAAAATTTAATCTTACTAATGGCGCGGGAGTTCAATTACTTGAAATTTCCTTCTTTTCTGTTGAATTTAAATTTTTTTTTTTTTTTTTTTTTTAACAATTCGAAACTCGATGTAAATTATACATTAGTCGCACACTGAAAAAGATCTAAAAAAAAAGGAATCGAATGTCTCGGTTTTTATATTCAATATAAAACGCACACGCGCAACTTGTGTTTTGGTTTCACATTTGGCCTACTTTTGTTTCGGTGTAAATTATGTTACAGTTGCACAAGTTCGATTCCCACGTATATTATCGAAGTCAACGAAATGGTGACTCATATCATTATCAACCGGCCAAGGCTGAGAATCTATTTGACCCTATCGAGTCTGGAGCGGAAATAAAGCGTTTTCATCGATGTTGCTCGGTTGATAATGTATGCAAACGAGGTCGCGAGGGAAAGAGAGAGACAGAAAAATAGCGAGAGAGAGATCGGATCTTCGTGCGAATTTTCTGCACACTTCGAAATCCCGAAACGACGACGGGAACAAAACAACTCGCGAGAAGGGCGAGACAGCTCGAGAGAGCGGGCCATATCTCACTCGGTGTGAAACGCTAAACGCTGCGTTACAACGTGCGAATTAAGATTTATCGCGGCCGCCGTAAAGTCACGACGGTGACTTACGGAATTCGAGCTCGCCGCTCCTCTTCAAGTCTTAGCGTCTCGTCCACGCGCGCTGTCTCTTCCTACGAAGAGGCTGACGCTGCGGACTTTTGATATTTTTTTCGATTTTAAAACGACGACCTAGTTAGCTAAAAATTTGCGTATCAACCACGTATACCGGACGTTGCGCTTCCTAAAGCAGCGGAGCGTTACACAAATCGGCGGAAACTTCGCGGAAACTATAAGGATTCTTACGTAAGTAAGGCTTCATTCAAAGTTTTCCTTGAAGATCGCTAAGACGGAGACGTTCCAAAAGTTGATGAGCACGAACACCTACGATCGCGCGAATTGTCTCAATGCAGGCGACGCTCAGTTTGGCACAAGTGCGGGACGTCGTTTATCACTCGGATGAGCAGTCAAGAGACGCTCGCTTCGAGCGGGCGATTAGACGTCACATTGGTCT